TATATATTATTATAATATATTTAATTAATTAATTAAAATTTAATTTAATTTTTTATTTTAGTAAAAATCAACTGATTAATAAGCTATTGGTTGGCGACAAAAATAGTCTATTTATAGGCTAACGGTCAGTAACGTGTTAATAAACCTATTTTGCAACAGTAAACACGCAGAGAAATAATCAGTTATTACGATGGAATAATTTTGTCGAGATTTTTCTACACGTTTCCCGCATTGAACTTATTAACGATGTTGACTTGCTTATTTACTCGGATATTACGGTATTTAATACGTACCGATAAAACATTTTCTGTGTTATACGTTATTTTATTTTTAGAGAGAAAGTGTAGGTATACATATTCTTTCTTAATACTTTAAGTACATATTATTCCTGTGCTGTTTTATGCGTTTTTCTCTTATTTCCTTTCCTGTTATTTTCTAACTGCGTTGGCGTAAACCTCGAATATATTTTCGTAGGTATTATTCTGATTTTTCTCTTTAATTTTCTTTACTTTTATTTTTCTAACTAACTTTATTACCACCCGGTGGTCATTTTAGATCGTTCATCGTCAGCGAAATTACCGATATAATATCATCATTAGATAAATGATCTTTTTATCGTAATTTTCGATTATTATTTATAATAGCAATATTTGCAAATCCGATGATATCGATATGTAATATAAATATAGAAAATGTTCTATATTATATCGATTAATAAAATACATTGTAAATATTAACATATAAATATTAAACAAGTATAAAATATAATTCATCAAAATTTGATAATAATTAATTAATCATTATCTATCATTTATTTCGCGAAATATTTATTATTAATTAAATTCCCGAGATTTGTGTTATTAAATATATCGAAAACGCATAGATTTAAATATTTATTTCTAAAGTAGGATCCATAACATTATTTCTCTCTTTCTATATCTTTCTCTCTGATCTTTTTCTTTGCTTTCTTCTTTTTGTTCCTCTTTCCGATACGTGGATTGAAAAAATGAGTAGAAAAAAAATATCGGATTGATTTCTCATAGATGAACGAGTTAAAACACGGTCTTTGAATTTTGTCCACGTACCGACACATGTTCTTTGGACTTTTGGCATCATCCAGAGAAAAATATGCGATGGGAACGGATTCATTAATTTAATTAAACGCCCAACGAAGAAGCAGAAGCAACGTTGCTTTCTACTTATTACATCGCCGGATGTTGCATAAAAAGGCACACGAGTTTTAATTAAACTTTACACACGACCCCACCTTCGCACATAGTCACACACACACATAGAGAAAGAGAGAGAGAGAAAGAGAGAGAGAGAAAGAGAGAGATACACAAATATTCTTACACGTATATGTATAGCACATATATACATACGTATGAAAAGGACAGATACAGTAGGAACACAATGAAAATTCTACATACCATAATTTCGTCCTACTGCATTAGGTTAGAACTTTAACAACTTAATAATGCCAGATTTTCTCTTGACCTCTAAACGTTTATCATGATTTCGAAAAGCATGCTTGACGTATAATTTCACATCGGATTAAATGTATTTTCGATAAATTTTGACGTGTTGATAAAACTAGAAGAATATTATTAGTCTGACACAACTCTCTCCCAATGCCGTGAACTCGAAAATTCGCTTCATTTCGTATAATGTCATCGGCCTGAAATGACATTTATTAGCTACCTTTTCTCTCCAATTTCGAATTACATAGTATATATACATTATACATTTACACATACATATATGCACCACACATATCTCTATATGTATATATATATATATACATATATATATATATATATATAGGTAACAATAAATTGTCTTCTTTATTTTACGATTGGAGAATGAATGGATATTCGATCGGGTTAATATTCTACAAATGAATAATTTCCTTTCTAATTTATAGAATCGTCATTTATACAAGAGAAAACAAAAACAAAAATTAAAATAAAATAAAAAAAACGTACAATTATATGGGATTAATTTTCTACATAATTATTTGTGCGATATCGATTTAAATGTATTTAATGCAACAACAAAAAACTATACTATTGTGAATATATTTCTGTACAATGATAAGATAAAATATGTTCACGTGTATATATGTTTGTGTGTGAATGAGTAAAGCGATAAGAAACAAGTTGAAGGATAAATAACGATCATTAAAATAGATAATATCAAGGAAATGAAAAAGAAAGAAAGTAGAAAGGTGTTAGTGGTGGCTATTGATTCTCATGGGGTTCATTCGCCTTGATAAAAGGGGTCATCGGCAATGACCTGTGCAAGATAAGGTAGTGTCCAATTTCCACGGTGCCACTGTGTGGTCCTCTAGCTATGTTACATTTAATACTGTCAACGAGCGTGTAGTTGAAATATTACCTTGTAAAATATGAAACTGGCCGAGTTCCATCCCGACATTACGCAGCTTTACGTCATCGCTAAGAGAAATAGTTCTATACATACATACAACGTTTATAAATTATAAGAAGAAAGTGTTCTCTTAGAATGAGAGAAAGATACAATTATTATTATTATTATTATTATTACTTATTTTTTATCGTACATTTAATTATTTTCTATAACAATTACATATCATATGTGTGTTTCGTAATAATTATGACTAGTTTATTATACATATATACACATTTAAATATATACATAGTATCAAATATATAGAATCGTTCAATAAATAATAATTAATATATGTAAATCAATCTCAGCACACATTGAGAGTATTATAGACACATACGTCGCATAGATTGTTATTAATTGTTTTTAAATGATGGTTAATTCATTTTTTACATTGATTTTCTTTTCTCCTTTCAATCTTTTACTCATCAATTCATCTTGAATTTCTTGCAACGTTTTCCCTTTAGTTTCCGGCAAAAAGATCATCGTAATTGGTATCACAGTAATTACTATTATCGCGTACATCCAATAAGTAAACTTTTCGGTGATCAAATCTACGAAGACTTGATAAGTCGAGGATGATATAAATGCAAATATGGCTGCATTGATACTGCAAATACTCGCGGCTACGCATTTTATATCAGGTGGAAAAATTTCGCCTACTATAGCACTAGGTACAGGTAATAATCCAGCGAATACAGCGATTTGAAACAAACTAAAGGCAGCTATTGGTATCCATTGGATTTTACTTGGATCAATATTTGATTCCAAAAGTTCAAAATGTACTCCCAATGCTGTCAATGATATCGCAATTATCAAACTTGAGACATACAATAGAAATTTTCTTCCATAATAATCGATCAGTCTTATCGATAACAAACAACCGAATATACCAAATATCGCAATTATTATAACGATTAATGATGGCTTGATCACAGTCACTTTAGCACTTTTCAATATAATTTCCATATAAAACACTAAGGAATTGATACCGCAGGATTGAGTGTAGAAAAATAAAACGTTGGTTATTATCAAAGCTTTCCTCATTTGTGGTATCTTAAACTTTTGAAGGGTTTGCCATGTAGACTCGCTGTAGGAAGATTCGATAAATTGTTTCAAATTAGAATATTCTACGTCGGCGTTACAATTACGGTGATACCATAGAATCGAGTTTTTAACTTTGTCAAAGTACTTTTTTTGCATCAAATGATGAGGAGTGTCCGGTAACCAAATAAATAATAGCATTAGAATAGTACTAAAAATTAGATTAATGGCGGACGATAATATCAATGATAAATAAGTACCCATAGTAGAGATTAACAAAAAACCACATGACATACCGGTCATACCAACTAATACCAATGCACCTCGTATATTCGAATCGGCAATTTCACCTAAATACAGGGAGAAACAAGTATAACACATTCCCAAATAGAATCCACCGAAAAATCTTGCCAAATATAACCAAATGACGTTATCAGCTACTATTATAAAAATCCAACACAATGATATGGGTACACTACAAAATAATATTGTTTTTCTACTGCCTAGGTATGTAACAAAAACTGCACCAAGAATTCCACCAATTATTCGTCCAACGTTCAAAAACGAAACGATCATAGATGCTTCTTGCGTTGTTATCAATATGATCGATTCATTTGATAATAATTGTGCTACGTAGGGGGATGACCATCCTGCCACTAATCCTATTTGCATTAATTGAAGACCAACTGGAACAAAAATAAATGAAGAAACAAATAAATTATAAGAGATTGATGAACTGATTAAAACGTTTCACCTAATTCCAGATAATTAATTATTTGAATTAAAATTGCTAAGGGAAAGGAAGAAAAAAAAAGAGAAATAAAAAGAGAAAATGTATAAGCACAAAAATTTGTAAGAAAATAATAGTATTGTTTTTTAATTTAAATTAATGTAATTTAATTTAATTTACCACCAATGCCAGCAATCCATTGAGGCCATGTAACATTATTTTCCACATTTTCCTTTGTGCCCATGTTTATAATCGTGTTCTTAAGTGTCAGAGCTCTTTCCCGTACAACTGTCGTTTAAATAGTGTAGAGCGTTGAATTCTTTCGATTGAAAACCTGAGTTATTCGTGTTAATATTTTCCCCCACTTTAATGTGATAAATTACATCTTGAATGATAAATTTGTTTAGTATTAACTGTTCACAATCGAATATCTAATAATATTTTATGATTTGTTAGTTTTGATACGATAATAATTGTTAATTTAGATGAATGCGTTAAAAATATATTGTATATATGTATCATTTTTTGTTCAAGACTACATAATAATACGTTTAACGTTAAATCTTACGCACTCATTGTAAGATAATCTATTAGTGTTTAAATTCGTGATTTATTAAATAAGATTAATAATTATCGGAATTACGTGTTATATTATCGATAACGTATAACGATACGATTATTTCTAAATATATAATTTCTTTATACTCGGAAATACATATATATATGTGAACGTAAGTATGTTGCGTAACGTATTTATAAGAGTTTCATTTAATCTTTCAAAAAGCACTTATATTTTTCCGTATCAAAGATGCATCATTAATTTTTTTTTTTCGGAAAAACACTTCTTTAAGGTCTATCATCCAATTATCAAAAATTTGAGTTAATTGTGATGATCTATTTATCATTTTATTGAAAACATATTTTTTTATTTTTTTGAAATTAAACAGAACTATTTGCCACATGTATTGAAGAAATTTTGTAATATTTTTTATTTGATGTACTTGTATATACTGATATTTTGACTCAAATCTAATAGCCTTAGACTTAAACTTTATCCAAGTAGAATATTTCTATTATTACAATTAATTTTAAATAATTATACTAATATATATATAGCTTATTGTATTCGTCTTAATGCTATTGGCAAGAGATTATATTGTATTAAAAATAAAAATAATATAAAAAACTTCATATAGCAATTAAATAATACTTTTTTTTTTAATTAATGATAAGTATAATTTATACTGATAAAAAACATTCTGATAAATTTTATGTATTTTAAAATTATTCATTACGTAAAACGAATGAACTATTATAGAATTTATTATTATTTTTGATATATACCACTTACTTGCTTAATTATGTATTCGAGTGTGAAAAACATTTGACGTGGTTTGGCTTTGGACAATTAATTATTTTGGAAAATTACGGGTAGTTAAATGGAAAAAACTTGTTTTCGATATTTGCTAATATGTTTTATCAACAGTTCTGACATAATTACCTAAACTTTATTAAAAATGTTCTAAAGAAAATCTAATTGGATATGTATTGATTGAAACAAATATTTTATTTATTTATATATGCGTAATGTTCAAAATTACTATATGTCATAAAATTATAAAAGCCTCTTATCAGAAATTGTTATCCACGTTTCATCATCTTTGTTAGATATAAATGTTTACTTTTAAAAAGACAATAGTCATTCATTAGCGTGATCTTCTCTTTCGTCTGATGAAAATTGTTGGTAACATTAATGTATAGTTTAATATAATTTTACTTTAATGAGTTTGCACAAGTGGTTCAATCATTCGTGATAAGATACTTATTGATATTGAAGGAAAACAAATTTTTTTCAGGAGTAAATTGGAAATTTTCGAACCTCAACAAATGAAAATTAGTATTTATATATATATATATATATATATAGAAATGTATAATCATTTAGATATTATATGATAATATATTTATTATTGTCGAAAGTGGACAATTGTTTTTTTTTAAATGCATATATTATATCATTGCATATATTTATTTTACATATTTTATACAGAATAAAGATATACATATCAGTTTACTCTATACACGTTATAACAGAATACAAAAAAAGAAAAATAAAGTATTTACATTATTCGAGAATACAAAAGGTAGGAAAAAGAAAAGAAAAAGAAAAAGATGTCGAAATTGGATATATCGGTAAAATATTTTATTTAATTTGTACTCTTTCCTCTGAATGTGCGTGTGCGGTTGTTTGATTTCTTCTATCAACGTGACAGTTTCTTATCTCAAGCAATACTTGAATTTCCTGTTTGCAAAAGATCGTAATTTAAAGACGGTATGAGAGGTGGCAATAAAAACTTAGAGATAAAATTCAGTTTCAGTATGCGATATACTTTCAATGTCTTTCCCTTTGTCTCGGGTACGTAGAAGATAGAATAGAAAATAGAAAAGACCATTATACTCGCGTACATCCAGAAGACGTATTGCTCCGTCACTAGATCCACCAATGGTTGAAATGTTTTACTAGAGATGAAAGCAAAACATGCTGATACAAAACTGCCGATAAAACCTGCTATGGTTTTTAGAGTTATTGGAAAAAGTTCGCCAAGTAGTAGACTCGGTACAGGAATTAAACCAATGCAAAACATCGAGAATATTAATAAAGATAGTATTGGCAACGGTTGAATGATTTCAGAATCGTAACCAGATTTTAATAAATAGAAATGTATTCCTAACATAATCATACTGATAGCGACGCTGACACTCGAAACGGTTAAAAGAAATTTTCTTCCATAACGATCGATAGCGTAAATACTTATCCAGCCATAAATTATACCTACAATGAAATATTTAAATATGAACATATTTCTTTTTTTTTTTCTTTTCTTTTCTCTCTTATTTGTCTTTCTAATCGATTGAAATAATAAGATAAAAAAGAAGACATAATTAAGGAAAGGTACCGCTTATGCTAACGATTATCACTACGGTTGACGGTGATATAAACGTGACTTTGGCGTTACGAACGATAATTTCCATATAAAAAATCATAGAATTGAGTCCGCTGAATTGCATAAAAAAGAAGAGTATCACGATGATAAGAAATGCGCGTCGATTTTTTGGTTCGGCCATTAATTTGAGTCTTCCTCGAAATGTTACGACTTCCGAATCCTTGATAAACATCTCGATCTCGTTCATTTCATCTATTATGTCTGATTTTCTATGATAAAAACGAATAGACTTTGCCGCATTCTCCATGGAATTACGTCGTATCAAGTAGTATGGTGATTTGGGTAGACATGGGAACGTTAGAACGTAAACCGAAGTCACCAGGAGGCTAATGACACCAAACCACTTGCTCGACATCTGGGGACCCATTATGTTTCCAATCAGAGTGCCAATGGGTAGACCATTAATCACTAGACCGACTAAGGCACCACGTATATGTGCTGCTGATATTTCACCAATGAACATTGGGAAACAACTAAGGAACATACCCAAGGACGTACCTGTTATTAATGAAAAAAGATATATAGAGAATTGTCAGGTTGTTTTCAAGAGTTCTTAATTATGGGTACTTCATTTTTAAATATATTTTTTTAATCAGTATTTTTTCAATATTAATAATAAATTAGGTCCAATATATTACACTGATTAATTAAAGAATAATAAAATATTAATATGTAATATCTCTATATCAATTTTTAAATACTATATCTATTTGTAAATACTGTTAACATTTATTTCACAAAATATTAATAGACAAATATTATTCTAAATAAAAATATCCGTTAGGAAATATATAGAAAAATTTGTACCGGCAAAAATTCTGAAAAGGTAAAGCCATGGGGCCGATGTCGCACATATTACGCAAATCCAACTGATTATCAATGGGAATCCTGCAAGTACTAGAGATATTTTACTACCAAGGTATTCCGCAGCTAGTGAACCACAAATTGCACCGAGTAGTCGTCCCAATGGTAACAATGAAGCCACCCAAGATGCCTCGGTCTCAGTTATTGAAATGCTCGATTCCTTCCTCGTGAATTTGGCCAAGTACGGGGATGTCCAGCCAGCTACCAGACCTAAGCTCATGGCCAGTATGGTCACTGCGATGGGATTTGACATTTCTCGGTATCGAAGTTGTTAATGTGCTAACGACAGACTTGCCAACACATTTTCAATGAATTCAATTGATTTTAACTAACCGGTTACACTTGCCACCCACTGAGGCCACAAATCAAATGCATTCACCACTCTTCTTCGCAACATTTTCTCATTTACAACGATATTTTCGTTTGTTTAAAATCATTTTATTAAATATACATTACAGGATCTCTCGATTATTCTCCATATTGTCATATGTCGCAATTATACGCTCATGTACGCGTATATCGATAATAAATATATTAATAATCTCGTTAATGTGTTTTATTTTATTTTTTGTTTTTGTTCACAGTTGGCCGTGATAATCGTAGATAATTTTTCAATCGGGTGTATAATTATTACCAATATACTTTTTCCTTGGAAATATTATTATTTTATAAAAGGTACCTTAATAATATAATATTTCAGTGTCGCGTTATTTTTTTTTACAAATTTTTATTATTTTTATTTATTACAAGGGGGGTACAATTTTGTACTTAATCATGCGGATTAAAATTTGTATATGATATATTATAAAATCTATTTAAATATAATTGTAATAGAGAAAATATATATTTATTATGATACTCTCTTATTATTTTAAAATAGATTTTTATTATTATTAAATAAATAAATATATAGACATATCGATACTTTACTTTAGAACATTCAATTGTAGAACTCGAACACTTCTGTATTTGCCCATTGAAATGGAAAGTTAATTTTCTGTTTGAATCAATTCACTTCGTATTGCCGAAGAGAAATATTTACATTATATATAAGTTCTGTCTTTTCATTCTCTACCATACTATCTGATTCTTCTTATTCAAATATCTAACGTGTAGCATCCAGGTTGAAAGTATCATAACTGTGCAAATAACATTTCCAACTTTGCAAATGATTTTATTTTGTTTTCGTACTAAACAGAAAAAGAACAAAATAAAAATTCAAAAAATGCAAGTTAAATATTAGCCAAAATTTTTTGTATTTAATTATTTTTTCTTTACTGTTCGGTTGATACGGGGGTAGAAGGGGAGGGGATTGTTAAAAAAGTTACGCGAAAGGAAACATTTATCGATTATAATTGAAATTATGTGATAATTTATCAGTGATAAATTAACGTCTATCAGTAGTAGGTATCCAATGGTTGTACTCGATAATAAGCATGCCTCGTCAAATTCAATTATACGATTCCCGAGGGTATGTAACCCAATTTGCACGTCATCAAGCCGACGATGAAACTAGTTCGAAGACCTCGGGTGTAAACTGACCACGTATATCAAATATTGAAGTTTCAGGATTGCACAGGATTGTCCCGAGGGATAGCGAATAACCGTTCAAAGTTCGCTGAGAGATTGAAAGACTATATATACATATGTGTGTGTATACTTACGTCTATGCGTATGGTTACGTCTTCGTATATGCATGAGTATCTGTATAAGTATTAGTATACGTATGTGTATGCATATGCATATAAGTACGTGTATCGTATGCTTATACTTGTGTAAGCATATATGTGTTTAAATGTATATGATATGTATGTATGCGTGGGTGTGGGTGTGGGTGGGAGAGAGAGAGAGAGAAATAGATAGAGAAAAAGAAATAGTGTGCGAGTATCAAGACTTTTTGTCTGTATTTTTCTATCGATAAAGTCACGTTGCACTTTCGAGTGTTTTTCTATTTCTGATTTTTGTCCATTTGTTTTTTAGATTTTCATCTTATTTATTTAAATTTATACGCGCTGAATTGTAGCCGTGCTCTAGGACGTTTCAACGCGAGACGAGTTTGCGATGGAATTAAACGATAAAGGATGAAATAAAAATTCTCACGATCGTTTCGTAGAAACTCGTTCGCTCTGAGAAATGGATGATGTAAAAAGCTTTTTTGCTTCTGGACTTTTCAGAACTGGTATCACTCGTCTTATCACTTTCTTCTCGCGTGAAAGTGTTCTTAAAAAATGGGAAAAAAATACGAAAGGAAAATGATGTATAGGTTTTCTTTTTCATTTTGTAAGTTTGTATACTCTTATACATATATCAATAAAATCGCGTTATCATTTATCTGAGATTTTCTATTCATCTTGCAATTAAATCGAAATTTAATTAATATAAAAAGGAAGGAATTATCGAGAGATGTTTCTTTTTTTTTTTTATGACACATAGATAACACAATCGTTTGTATTTATTTATTCGGTAATTAGTAAAATAAATGGTTAATCTAGTAATCTAAAAAATCGATTTACTGAATTATTATATTAGAGTGATTAAAGAAAATAGATATAAATAAATATAAGTATATACTTAAGTGTGTGATCTTAAAGTTACATTGCAATATAGAGTCGTTAAAGAATGAAATATGAAAGTCGAGGGGGCAAGGAAAATACTCGTACAATATTTTAACTCCAAAATATTACCTATAAAATTCGATAGTGATCTTCTTCTTCCTCTTAGATCTATGAACGTGATAGAAGAAGAAGAAAGAAGAAGAAGATAGTACTCTCTCTTGAATCTTCAAAGAATTATTTTCCTTTAGAGAACGATAAAATATATTCTTCGGGATGTTAAGTGCTGAAAAATGACGAAACGCTAACGTTCAACGATAGTTACCTTTTTCATTTTATTTTATTTTATTATTATTATTATTATTATTATTATTATTATTATTATTATATTCTTTTGTTTTCTTTTCTTTCTCATTTTATTTTTCTATTTACGTTTTGTCTTATTCATTTTCTGACAACGACAAACAAAATGTGGGTATATAAAAGAGTAACAGAAGTTTCTGTATGTATAGTGGTTAGTTTCATTTCGTCGCCTAAAACATAAATTATAAATAAAGTGAGAGAGAAAGAGAAAGAAAAATAAAAAGATAGACAGGATGATTGTGGTTACAGTGACGGATTAAAATCGATGGTGAAAATAAGATAGAATAAAACATGGATATACAGCTATTTCTTACTTTTCTCTCGAAATCTTCTTTCTGTCTCTTTCTTTCACTATTTTCTTGTCTACTTTTCTCTTTCTCGTCTAAAATATGCGTCTCAACGTGATTTCCTTCGATAAAAAGTAAATTTGTCTATCAGACGTCTCGCTTGTTTTCGCGAATCTTCTTCAAATATTCGAATCTCTCTTTTTTTTTATTTTCCTCTCTTTTTATCTTTAATTTTTTCTATTTTTTTTTTGAGCGTCTCCTCATCTTTCATATTTGAGGAATTATTTAAACGCGTATAATGTATCCTTTATTCATTATATCGTCGGATGGAAAATGTGTTTACAAAAAATCTTAATTATAGGAATATCGATGAAGATTGTTCTGCCGTGATTAATGGTTTCAAATGTGTGTGTGTGTGTTTAATCTAGAATCGTTTGTAATTCGAGAGAGGAGGTATTTTCCCTCGGGCCGAAATCAAGTTGAATTTTCTTTGGATTAAGAAGTAAAAAAAAAAAAAGAAAAAAAAAGAAAGAGAGAAGAAATGGATAGAAATAAAGAAGGGAAAACATTATGTTATTCTCATGAGATATTATAATAATAATAGAGATAAACTCGATCGAATGAGAAATAACTGTAATTAAGATGAAGTAATAATCATGCAAGAAATACTTAATGAGTTTCATAATTTTCTCGATAAAGTTCACTTAAAGTTCAACGTTAATACACATCGTTGGATTAATTTTTGTATAAGCTAGTTAAAAGCTCATTTAGAAAAAATACGAAGACCTTGATATCTCGAAAAAGATGATCTTGAAAATAAAATTCGGCGTATCGCGTCTATATCGGGGTCTTCGAACAAAAATATTTATTTTCTCTGGACATATTTTTTCTCTATTGTACGCGAAATAAACGAGATATTTTAGATAGTCGAGTTAGGCGAAAGACCCTGCATATAAATAAATACAATATATACATATATATATATATATATATAGACATATTTGTTTGTATTTACTCTCTTTCAATATCGATTTTGTTTGAACGAAACGAAGAACTATCGGTAGAAAAAGTAAAGGTAAAAAAAGGGGGTATAGATGGATACAACATCGATACCAGTTACGAGAGGACAAATATCCGAACAGAAGCTTACCGAACGTTGTGTGTCATTAAATCGTGAGAAACTTTTCGAACGAACGTCGTGAAATTTGGCCATGAGTTTACAGGGACGAACGTAATCTGGACTGACTCGTTAGAACTTGTTCCGGTACTGTTTCGTTCTATGTAATTCCCCAGTCCGAGTTGGGCTCGGTCATTTTCTCATCCGCGAATTACGTAACTTCTCCTATGTGTATATATATATATATATACACGTACATACACAGACACATAGACTATTCACAAATCACGCATGGAATAAAATATAGATGTTCAAAGTAAAATTCTTGTTTTTTTTTTTTTTCCCTTTTGTTTCTTGCTGTTTCTTCGACGATACGATTAACACGCTGCCGTTCGAAGAAAAAATAAAAATAAAATTGTTTAGATTATATTTGAAACAGCACGAATGGTATGCTCGGCACTAGGAATGATGAAAATGATTATTTCGAATGTAATTACTTTGCAAACTGTTAACCCTCACGATCATAGATCCGTTATCTGTTCGTTATCTTACTAATGAATATTTATATATATTCTTAATTATTATTAAAATTATAAAAGTTTGTTCGAGTGATATAAGATTTTTATGTTAAATGATTCCGATAACCATCATCAACGTGTATTCCAATACCATTGGAATATTTATAGATATCTCAAAGTTGGTTCGTTAATCTATTTCGAGTTACTACTGCTTTCTAGAATCGCAAATTCGAATAGAAATACTTCAGAGTAGAAATGCGGCTGACGCGATGAAATACAACGCGGTAACTCGAAAATAGCTTACATTATTTGTTATAGTGGTTATTCGAGTATCAAATGCGAATCGATCAAACATGAAAGATAAAGAGGAAGAAAGAAAAAAATATTAACAACGTAATTGCCAATCATTTTATTCAAAACTTTAA